TATTTTCCATCTTACTGTAAATTTTGTTTAATTTCGAAAAATAAAATTTTATTTTATGGTTTATTATTGTTTATATTTTGAATTACATATATATGGGGGGGGGGGGCACCAAAATCTTTTAAGTGCTTAGGGCCTCTAAGGGTCTTAATCCGGCTGGGTTGGAGGTTAAAGAAAGTGAGACTGGCGGGAAAAAATATCAGACAGTAGATTGTGTCAAAATAGTTTCAGAAAAATGACGGGCAAACAACCACTGGTGTCTACAATAACGCTCAAAGGACCAGAGTTAGGGAATTTACAAGCATAAGTAACATCAGCTTATCAATCACATCTGTAGTGCAAATGATACAGAAAAATAATCGAATATAAAGGTAGAGTCAAAGACAAAAGTCGCGTTACAAGTTGGATAAGTTTAGGTTTAGGAGGGAGATAGGAAGAAACTGGTTCACAAATAGGGTGGTGGACGAGTGGAACAAGCTTAGCAACTTTGTAGTAAGTGCTGGAACTCTGGAAAGTTTCAAAAGGAGGCTAGATAGATTCATGGATGATAGAGAGTGGTAGTAACTCTCGACAGGCGCTGCCATGCACAGGTCAACCGGCCTATTGCAGACTCCTTATTTTCTTATTTTCTTATGTTACACGGAGCTCGCGTTATAATCTGAGTTACATGATGAAGGACTTACAAAGTTCCCCCTCAGTCACTTAGCAATATTGTCAAGTGTGATTCTTAATAATCTGTAAATTATTTGTCACTCATCCTTTAATAGAGTTCACCAGCGTGACATCACAATCACAAACGGATCGGAGGTGGGTGGGGTGGAGGGTGGGGTGGGAGGGTGGGAGTGAGGGGGTGGGTGAGAGATGCCTTACCAGCTCACAACAATACATTTAAGTTTTTACAACCATATGGGAGGCCCAGAGATTAGATTAGGTTAGGTTCTGTGCATTGTCGTTTCCATTTTCTTATATACATACAATTAACATCTCCAGAAAAATTGGTGCTATTCCATAAGTTATTTTTGGTATTAACCGTCTCTTCCAACAATAACAATAACAATAACAATAATAATAATAATAATAATAATAATAATAATAATAATAATAATAATAATAATAATAATAATAATAATAATAATAATAATAATAATAATAATAATAATAATAATAATAATAATAATAATAATAATAATAATAATACCATGGATACGATTAAATTAGTTTGCCGCTAAAGCAAGGGTTACAGTTTTCTTTCATCTAAGATATGGAGAGAACGAGCTAAAACATGTGTAACTAAAGAGAAAAAAATATATTTTTTTTAACTTAAATTTTAATAAATCTTTCACCACTTATCAGTCGTTTATTGTTCGGTAAATATTCGGCAAACATCCAGTAAATGAGCTCAGGTTTCGATTTTTTCATAAAAAATACGTTTTCCTATGGGTCTTGTGACGAACGAATCTGACCTTTGTTTCTGGTGCTAACTGCCCGTTTTCGAGTTAAGCCCCCTCCCCCATGACAGGGATGCGGGATGGACCTAATCTGACCTAACCTAACCTAACCTAATCATAAAAACTATGAAAATCTTGACCTTGGATCCCCCTCAGTGTTGATCGCGTTTTTACCTTAAAAGCTGGCGTCGACGTCAGTATGTGCCGTGTCTGGCTCCTCTCTGGCTGTGAGCGTGTAGTTTAACGGCCCCAGTGCAATACCACTGGTGCCTGTCTCCTCTATAAATACACTGTCTATTACACCTAGGGCACTCGAAAGCACTCCATAGTCTCTCAAAAAAAACCAACGACTGTTCGTTTTCCTTGTAGAAGCGCTTGATAGTTTCCCACTCCTCGAGAGAGCACCCTGCACGTAAGGTAGACACGTTGAATCCAAGTAGAATTTGATTGAGAAGGCGGCTCCTTCTCCCCAAATCGCTGTGATTGGTCAATGGAAAATGAGTAGTGGCTAATTAGCTTCCGCCTTCCCACAGTGCAAGAAATTAAAAAAAAAAATACGAACGATGACGCCAGGCAGTCGTCGCTAATTGGCTACCGCCTCCCCACAATGCAAGACATTAAACAAATTACGAACGGGCCCTGCGTTTCTTATAATGCTTCTTCGTGGTGTAGCTTAATATAGTCTTTTTCTCTTATTTTTTCGCCCCCCTAGTCCGGGTGGACTATTCTCCGTAAAAAAAAATCCCCTCAGTTCATTGTTTATCTATTGCAGAGATCAGAATTCTTCAAGGGGATGTTGTGTTTTTTTTAAATCGCTATATATACGTTATTTATTGTCAGCGCAGAAAGTGTCATATTAGAAATTCGTCTTATCTTTGTTAAGTAATGTGGTTGCAAACAATACAATAACGAAATTCGAAACCCAGCTACTATCCTAAATTGACCGAGCTCAAATCATATGCTGGTGTCGGCCCTGTCTGGTTACATGCCTAAATCATAGCATTTGCCAGGCGTAGAGTACAAAGACACGATTAAGTTAGGTTCTTTTTGCTGTTTTAATACCACTATTGCAATGCAATAAGAAAATACTTGTGTTACCCCTTTAAAATGTCGTATTCTATGGTACTAAATTTTAAGAAAACCACGAATGATAAACTCAATAGTTCTTTTCCTTTGGAACTTCAATATTACATCGTCAATTCCAAATATTTATCTTATAATATTCTCGTATTCCTCTGTTTAGATTACTGCAACAAAGATCTTGTAAATAAAAAAAAAATAAAAATAAAAAACCCCGGTTAATTCATAAGACCACCACTACCATCAGAAGTTGTTCGATTTCATTCATTTTTTCTACAGATGTTCTTATCATTATAGTAAATATTTTAAAAGACACGAAACCTTTTTATTTTAACTATAAGTATTTTTATTTATTTTGTACCTTTTTTCTGTCTACGATTTTAAATCACCTTTATTGGGTAGGGCATGAAGGATAGGAGACATTGCGGGGTAAAACACGATGAAAAACTGATTATATTACAACAAAATGATACCTCTACTTGCTTTGTACGCTAAGAAATGAATTATTTATGGTAAATACTCCTCCGAAAAATTTGTCGAGACACTGTGTGTCGTCGGTTAGTGTTTACAACCGACCCGCTGTCTGAGCTCGCGTCCACACAAAACGTAAAATTACACCATAACGCTTCAACAAAGTTGCTTTAATTGGTACCAGATATGAAAATAAGTACTTTATGATTAGTATGTGCTAGATTTTAGTACATAAATGCTAAATCTGATAATCTTGGTCGCTATCATTTGCAGCAGATAAGCACGCCTGGTTCTGTATGAAAACACCCACAAATAAGTAAGAGAATCACTCAATGCTCCAGTTAAATAAGGAAAGTTTTTATTTTATTTTATAATTTGGTCTTGTTTTACATTAGGTTAGGTTAGGTAAGGTCAGGCTACCAATTTTTCTTTCTCGTGTTTTTACCTCACATTTTCCTGCTCACTTGGTGAAAACTATTGTTATATCTCCATAAATATACTTTAGCTAAAATTAGCGTAGGTAAATTCTCATTAATTAGTTTTGTTAGTAAAATTTCATGCTAAACCCTTGGACTTGGTAATAGTAGAGGTTTATGTACCAACAAATGATAGTGAGGATTAAGTTTAAGAAAACAAAAATATGAAGATTAAAAACAAAAAAAAGCCACCATGAAGTTTAATGAATGTCTGATTATAATGGAAGATTTTACTGCAAAACTTGGTAAAGGGAAAGAAGCATTGGAAGCAGGACCACGTGGATTGGGAAATAAAAATGAGAGGGGAGAAATAGTAACTGACTTTAGTAAGGGAAAACAAGATGATAATTCCAAATACATTTTTTGAACAACATCCTAGGCATCTCTATACACGAATCTCACCTATTTCTCTTATCAAATTTCCACAGGGTCTCTCAACATGATAAACAGGGCTACAAACTGCTGGGGGTTGTGGTGGTAGTCTGGGTATCATAGTTTTCCCTCTCTCTTGGTTTGAGTACGTAAGGTTCGGCTAGGTTCTTATGAAGGAATGGTAAGATCAGGTGAAGTCAAAGATTGGTAAGAGGAGATGTAGGTACATTTTAAGTTATATTTCTATTATTCAAGTTGGATTAGCTTAGGTTGAGATAGTTTTAGGTACAGTACATTATACCTTTTTATTCACTCTTGATTCATTGTTACTGAACTAAAAGATGACGAGCAGATTCCATGATCCCGGATTTATTTTCTTTGTATAAATACTGTATTCTGTTGATGATAGTTTGAAGCGAGTGATTCCGTATTTTCAAGTCGGTCCTGAGGGGCCAGTTAGGTTATGCTTACATTTTGACACTCAAGGAGACTGTTTCGATTCTATGACATCCGAAATTTATTTAAAACACCTAAATGTCAGCAACTATCGACAATATATCTGATGTTGACATTGAAGAAGATCTAATAAGTTTTTTTGTCTAGCTTTTTCTTCTATACACATAAGGTTTAAAGCATTTCAAAGACTCCTCAAAATCGAAAGCCATTTATCGATAGCATTACTTTTTTTTACTTCCTTTAAAAAATTGACTGGATAATAGCGTTGATTACAGTTTTCTGGGAATTTGCTGTAAAGTTATAATGAGATTATTATGATCGCGGAACTTACCTGGTGAACACGGGGAAAACAATTACCCCGCTGATGAAGCACGGTAAAAATACACCTTGACTGGCAATTTATTTACTATGAACCGAGGAATGATTTACAAGTTTATTTACTATTTACTGTGAATTGAAGAATGATTTACAACTTTATTTACTGTGAACTAAAAAAAAAATGAGATGATTGCATGAGGAGACACCAGCATTCACTCAATATTCTTTAGTATTACATGGAAAACACTCACATTGAAAGTTGTTTTATATATCACGAAGAAATTATGTTATTATTATCATTCTTTTTTTCAATGTTTATTGTGTTTTTTTTTCTATCATGGGCTGTTTTATCTCGTGTTGATGTGTGGTTAGATGGAATGAGTTTTTCTCTGCCAAAATCTTTATTATGTCACACACTAACTGACTACATGCAACAATAATTATCATATAACAGCAGACTATAAAATACTGTAATACTATCATATGTGTCACTATAATTACTGCTATAATACTACTACTATTACTTTTTTTTTCATAACGTGGCCTCCAGCCTCCCCCAATAGCCACACCTTCGCCACCATTTTATTACTTTAATATTAAGTATCCTAATACAACAACTACTACTACTACTACTACTACTACTACTACTACTAATAATAATAATAATAATAATTATAATAATAATAATAGTAATATCAATCGCTTAGAATATCTCAAATATAAATCATTAGTGCCCAAACTAAACAGTGTGTGTGTGATAAAGTTAGAGTTTCTTCATTATGACTTTATATAAACTCCAATCGTCATGAATAAGGAAAAAGAGTATTTCAGGCCATTGCGAGTCATTATGGATGCAAACTGTCATTCTTCTTCTCAAGATGATTTATCCAAAGAGAATCTTCTTGATCATGCCCCAAAATCTTGTCTTTCGTGTTCTGCAACAAATACAGTGGTTAATCATGAGTGTTCAGAGGTAGCTGCTACCTTGTGGAGAGAAAGAGGTTGGAAACCCACTCAAGTACGTGGTAATAACAAAGTATAGGCAATTGATTTAATACGAAAACAATCCTAATAATTATCAATGATTTTCTTATTCATAAACAGAAAAATCTACCGGATACTCATGATAATATTTAACATGGAGTTATAATGCCCTTAATTCTATGTTTTTTGTGGATATCACGTGTTCCTACCTTCAATAAGTGACTATTGATATATCGGACAATATTTTATGTGTAATTTAACATTTTTAGTGTGATTCTGTTCACCATTTGCTTTAATCTTCAATAAAATATTTTTATTTACGAAACACAATACTATTAAATTGAAAATCAAAGATTTGATTTACCTTATATAAATTTGTTTGAAGAAACTGATGAAAATTGAAAATTCCCTCACGATTTCAAGTATTATCCAACTTCTATATATAAATATTAAAATTATTCATCTTTATTAGTTAATTTCATGAGAGAGAGTAAACGTCAGCCAGAGGTTTAGTCTTACTTCTCTTCGGTGATGGAGATGTCAGCACAGAGATCGGTGCGTTGGTTGGAGGAACACGAGGGATCTTGGGCACACTGCTTGGTGATCAGCGTCCACTGTGTGAGTATAAGATCAACAAGTTCAACACACGCCTTATTTAATTGTGAAGAAAACCTGAACTTGTGGTTCACTAATCATAGAAAAAACAGTGAAAATTTCTCACAATTATGACAACTACACAATCATGATAATGTCAATAGAAATAACATTCTTAGTACGAATAACAATGGGCAAATATGCGTGATATAAATACTCATACATCCATAGGTTGAATAGTCGGTCAATAATTAGAATGATTTATCGATTGATATAAATTTACGAATAGGTAGACAGGTACCGACCATAATGGTGCAGGTCTCACAGGTGAGACCCTGGGGCAGTAACAGTGATACTTCGTACTGGCCGCCGGGATTCTCAGATTCTATCTTAAACTGATGACCACCGCCTTCAGCCAGCTCCAGAGGGTACCTGAAGGAGACCTTAATACTTTAACTCTTATTCAACACCACATAATAATAGGTATATAATCACAAAGGCTCATACATACAAATCGTCAAACTTCCTGTCCGATTTCACTTTCACATACTAAGAGCATAAATGATTAAGCACAAAGATACACAGACAATTTCCTTGAAGCAACACTTAATAAAGAATTCCTCTTTTTATTTATCCTTCATGGGTAACTTAAATATATTGAAACTTCAATTTATACAACAGACTAAGTGTGGTTGTTTGTGATACTGATTGACTCTGAACGTTGTAACATGTAGGCAAATAAACTGTGAGCTGGGAAGTCTCTGGACGCTGTGAATCTGTAGACAACTTACTTGAAAAGACAGTCCTCGTCCTGAGCGTCAGCCCTGGGACACAGGTCGAACTCAAATGCTCCACTTTTCATGTTCGGTACTTGAGCCGTCACCCTTATTGTCTGCAGCAATAATGTTACTTAAGAAAACACTTTACGAGATTATATATTTCCTAATAATATTAATTCACACTATTTTTATACCCATATTATGTACATAAAAGTAGTGATAGCTCTGAAGTACAGGCACAATAATTTACCATATAATGAGAGTTGTATATACTGCATATGTGCTGTAATATAAATATGATAAACCTCACAATAACACATATTATTCCAGTTTTCATGGGAAATAATTGACCAACACGTCAATACTGTTTGAATATCCCATCTCACCCTCATGAAAAAAGTTGAGGAAGGAACAGGGCAAAATATAAGTACGTACTGTACAGTGTTTAATATGCTTATAAATACTAGAATGTTCTTGATAAATTTATTAATTGGGAACTAAGGATTCTAGAACAGGATGTCGAGTAACTTTTTCTTGTTAAATTTCTGTAAAAACATTATGTTCCAAGTGTAGGGTGTAGAAACACCGACTGAGGCTCACCTGGCCAGCGCTGTACTTGGGAACAGAGGTTCCGTCGTTGACTCCACTATTCATGGCTCCCTGAAACACAACAACACCAAGAACATGTACAAGAAAATGCTATAAATTTATATACCAATTTTATCAAATAGTGTCGTATGGGACGGCGTTTCTATCCTTTTGATGCCATGATTATTTTCAAACTTTTTCATCCAATTTAAGTTTTCTTTAATCGTTTAACATAAGAGTCGAGTGGTACTCACCAGCTCCCGGCAAGCACGCGAGGGAGGACTGATCAGCTGCTGGGCAGAGACCGTCCCCACCTGCAGGATGAAGGAGACACTTGGTACATTAACTTGCTGTATACCAGACATAGGGCCAGGTCTTTATGAGAACATCATCCGTCTAATAAATAAGTCTCTGATTATCATTCGTGTACTAACATTTACTATAATAAATATATTAGGAGAAATATCTAGGAAAAAGTAAATTTCAATCGGTTGTAAAGTAACATCGAGAACCATCTTGGGAAAAATAATTGTAGTCAATAATCATTTAGAATTTAAGTCATGATACTCTTTAACGAAAAGATGTTCATAATATAAGTGTACGACGGAGCATTAATTTGACACCACCAAGATACTCACAGCCAAAACGAAGAGGAGTAAGCCAGGGTTCATCTCAAGGGCGTTGTGTTCTGGTCCAGAGATGAAGAGGGAGTGTAGCGAAATGAAATCTTCTTGCTTATAAACGATCTCATATCTGCACGACGCTCTCTTATCATGGGCCCCCAACAGTACAATCCCACTTATCATTGTTTTCCTCCAAAGGCAGCATATCTCTTCTAATATCTGAACTTTAGAATCTAAAAAAAAAAAAAAGATATACGAAACGACACCTGGCCAGTAAAAAAACAAAAAAAAACAACAACACAAGCCCACACGCCCATGAACACTTCAGCAGATGCATGATTAATTAGGAAGGTTTACCATGGAAAGTGATTAGGACGAAGCAGATGGGTATTGTAATATTCCTTCAGATAAAATAACGAAGAAAGGCGGCGACACCGATTATAATCCTAGTTTTAAGTTTTATTACATTGGGTCTGCTCTTTGGTTCTATTTTCCATTGAACATTATGTCTTTCATTACGATTATATTTAAAAAAGAAAATAACAGTGAAACCCATTCGTTGGGACACCAAATTCCTCCCCAACGGTTGTGTCCCAATATATTTTGGGATGATGCCAACCACACACACACACAGTAATCTGCTTTAAAATCCGTATTTAATATGACGAATGATTTTGGGTCCCCATTTTTTATTTAATACGGCTCTTAGTCTCACATCTGATGGATAATGGTAATTACATATTGTGTAGAGTTCATTTTAATTCTCCCATTATATTCACGTTACACTGTATATAAATCTTGTGCCCAGGGACTATTTCTTTATCAATCGTCTCTTCCCTTTCCTCCCGGAGTATCAAATAAAGATAATGTTGTAAAAAGTCTCATGTAAAATCTTATGAAAAAAAAAATGCAAGTCAAATAAAAGAATAAATTAAGATGACTGAAAATGGTACCAGTTTTAGAGCTGCTAAATTATGGCTGCGTCAAATAGAAGAACTAATTTGCATATGAACGTCCTGCAACACACACATAGGGAGTGCTGCAAGATGGGGGGGGGGGGAATATATTGATACTGAATAATAATACTAAAAAAAATGTGAATGATACAACAGATAAACATGTGGAAGATGGACTCCAATGTTCTTATTAAGTTATTGTGAAAAGGAGAAGTTAATTTTGAGGGAATTCATTAAAAATTAAATAAAAAGGCAGGTGAATAAAGTACTAGTGTCAGTGAAAACGCCAGAGAGTATATTGTAAAGAGAATTAAACGAGTGAAGGTGTTGTAGGAAATGTATGTATGTATGTGTGTGTGTGTGTGTGTGTGTGTGTGTTTTAGTTCAGTGTTAGTTCAATACATTATACTATACCCCAAATCGTTTTTCATTAGCACTGACAATATCCGTAATTCTGCTGAAGAAAGTAAGAAGACCTTAAGAGAACAAGTTAGAAAGTATTTAACAATTTGGTTTTTGTTTAGGATAATTCACAATGTTCACTTATTCACGGTAGTCAGGAAATCATGAACAATTTACACATCATCGAATCTGATATCATAACCCCTTCAGTGTAAACGATACAACTTATATCTCAATTAATCCACTGAATTAGATGTCTCCTTTCCAGCAACTATATTACTTAAACCCTTTGATTGGCAATGTAATCTTATCCAAATGAGAAAATGTAATCCTATACAAAGCGTTTAGATATTGCATTCAAAGGATAAAGTCTTTACTCACAAGTTGTTCATTCATCAGACATCAAAGGTTTAATGTTGAAAAGAGACACTCCCCTCTAGCATTTTTAGTTCAACCCGTCATAAGTACGACTGCTCTTCGCGAGTGCTTTATTCAAGTGTGATTTAGCTCCACATCTGTGTGAGAAACTTTCTGCCTCTCTCTCCCTAATTTGTTATATCAGGATTCTGTTGCTCATCGTACCTAGAACAAAAAACTGTCCTACCTGCCTATAAATAAGATGACCCTAGACGCCATCTAATGATTATTTGAAGATAAAATTTATATTCTTAAAAACAAAAGATCAGGATTAAGAATAATAAATAAATAATAATACATAGGCAATAAAGAAGAGAAAGCAATTTATAATAAGCATAAGAAGAAACCGTTACAATGTAATGCCCATTTTGAACATTCCTCAGACATGGTCATGTATGGAGTTACATCCATTTGTTAAAAGATATGAATAAATTCGTTTTCCAGTAATATATATATATATATATATATATATATATATATATATATATATATATATATATATATATATATATATATATATATATATACTCACCCCTGAAGATGTGAATTACACGAAAGCGATTGGGAACTTCGTGTTTTCTTCTTTCCTTGTGGTTATCAGCATATACCTAGATCACGCGCACCTACAGTGATTTACTTGCATATATATATATATATATATATATATATATATATATATATATATATATATATATATATATATATATATACCTCACTAGTCGGGAATCGAACCCTGGAACATTGCGTGTGAACAGGGATCACTACCACCGCGTCACAAGTACAACGAAAGCAATCCTATGCTTTGTTATATTCCACACAGGTAAAACAGAAACATTTTGACGAAGTTGAGACTTTAATTAATAACGTTTCGGAAACTCATTTAACATCATCAGAGCCAACTGTAGAAAACAGACAAAAAGTTTACAAAATTACAGGTAATATACAAGAAAAACGAAATATTATTCTGAAATTTACCTTCCGGAAAAGTTTTGAAAATAACGTAGCATTACAATTTAAAACCACTGAAAATAACGGGAGATCTAAATAAAAAAAGTATAATCAGAACAAACTAAATTATACAGGATGTTAAACCATTGGCAAATATAATAGTACCTTTTCTTGTAACAGCGTTACCACCATTACTACCGTAATATTACTACTGCTACTACTCCTAGTACTACTTCTACTATTTTTTTTCAGTCGTGACCTCCAACCTTCCCTTATGGCCACACCTTCGCCAATATTTTATTACCCTAAATTTTAATATCCTAATACAAAAGTAACAATCCTAGCTAAGTTAGTTAAGCCGCAGATCTATGCAGCATTCAGTGACTGTTGCCTCATAGTCAATATCTGCGACTGTTGTTGGCTTAGGGGCCGATGATCTCTTTCCCCTGAGGCAAAGCAATGCAGACCTAAGTACAGAGAAGGACAGATGACATCTCAACCAGGTTGCAACGTAACTTCCGGGCTGCTGCTTCTGTTCAGATAACACCTCGGCCAGTCTTGCGTAAAAGCATATTGCACTTGGTTTCATCCTACTAGATGTTGTGAATACTAGAGGAATGAATTGTCTTGCTTTACATTCTGAATTCTTGAGTTACGATCTGTTCTTGTCATTCTCGTTCCTCCCGTGTGCAGCCTCAAGAAACAGGTTACAGTGACATGCGGTCATGTTGTCGAATATCCTAATATCAAAGAAGGCTCACCGTCTCTGTGTCCAGAATCCTCGAGCACTACTACTATTACTACTACTAATAATAGTAATATTAACCCAAAATATCACTAATATGAATTATTACAGGAAGTGTCAAAGCTAAAACGTGTATTACAAAGTTAGATTGTTTTCATTTATGTGTTTATATTAACTCCAATGACCATGAAACACCTGAGTCATTATTGGTAAGGACTGCCATTGTGCCATTCTTCTTCTCAAGCCGACTTATTGAAAAAATGATGACAGAACGCCTTTGGCCAGCCTGCCCCAAAATCTTGTCTTTCGTGTTCTGCAACAAATACAGTGGTTAATCATGTGTTCAGTGTTAGCTGCTACCTTGTGAGAGAGAGAGAGAGAGAGAGAGAGAGAGAGAGAGAGAGAGAGAGTTAAAACCCTTCCAAGAATGTGGTAATAAAAAAGCATAGCAATATATTAATTACGAAAAGAATTATAATAATTATAAATTATTTTCTTAATCATAAACAGAAAAATCTACCGGATACTCATGATAATATTTAACATGGAGTTATAATGCCCTTAATTCTATGTTTTTTGTGGATATCACGTGTTCCTACCTTCAATAAGTGACTATTGATATATCGGACAATATTTTATGTGTAATTTAACATTTTTAGTGTGATTCTGTTCACCATTTGCTTTAATCTTCAATAAAATATTTTTTTTTACGAAAAACAATACTATTAAATTGAAAATCAAAGATTTGATTTACCTTATATAAATTTGCTTGAAGAAACTAATGAAAATTGAAAATTTCCTCACGATTTCAGGTATTATCCAACTTCTATATATAAACATTAAAATTATTCATCTTTATTAGTTAATTTCATGAGAGAGAGTAAACGTCAGCCAGAGGTTTAGTCTTACTTCTCATCGGTGATGGAGATGTCAGCACAGAGATCGGTGCGTTGGTTGGAACACGAGGAATCTTGGGCACACTGCTTGGTGATCAGCGTCCACTGTGTGAGTATAAGATCAACAAGTTCAACACACGCCTTAGTTAATTGTGAAGAAAACCTGAACTTGTGGTTCACTAATCATAGAAATAACAGTGAAAATTTGTCCACAATTATGACAACTACACAATCATGATAATGTCAGTAGAAATAACATTCTTAGTACGAATAACAATGGGCAAATATGCGTGATATAAATACTCATACATCCATAGGTTGAATAGTCGGTCAATAATTAGAATGATTTATCGATTGATATAAATTTACGAATCGGTATACAAAGAGAGACAGGTACCGACCATAATGGTGCAGGTCTCACAGGTGACACCCTGGGGCAGTAACAGTGATACTTCGTACTGGCCGCCGGGATTCTCAGATTCTATCTTAAACTGATGACCACCGCCTTCAGCCAGCTCCAGAGGGTACCTGAAGGAGACCTTAATACTTCAACTCTTATTCAACACCACATAATAATAGGTATATAATCACAAAGGCTCATACATACAAATCGTCAAACTTCCTGTCCGATTTCACTTTCACATACTAAGAGCATAAATGATTAAGCACAAAGATACACAGACAAATTCCTTGAAGCAACACTTAATAAAGAATTCCTCTTTTTATTTATCCTTCATGGGTAACTTAAATATATTGAAACTTCAATTTATACAACTGACTAAGTGTGGTTGTTTGTGATACTGATTGACTCTGAACGTTGTAACATGTAGGCAAATAAACTGTGAGCTGGGAAGACTCTGGACGCTGTGAATCTGTAGACAACTTACTTGAAAAGACAGTCCTCGTCCTGAACGTCAGCCCTGGGACACAGGTCGAACTCAAATGCTCCACTTTTCATGTTCGGTACTTGAGCCGTCACCGTTATTGTCTGTAGCAATAATGTTACTTAAGAAAACACTTTACGAGATTATATATTTCCTAATAATATTACTTCACACTATTTTTATACCCATATTATGCACATAAAAGTAGTGATAGCTCTGAAGTACAGGCACAATAATTTACCAAAAATGAGAGTTGTATATACTGCATATGTGCTGTAATATAAATATGATAAACCTCACAATAACACATATTATTCCAGTTTTCATGGGAAATAATTGACCAACACGTCAATACTGTTTGAATATCCCATCTCACCCTCATGAAAAAAGTTGAGGAAGGAACAGGGCAAAATATAAGTACGTACTGTACAGTGTTTAATATGCTTATAAATACTAGAATGTTCTTGATAAATTTATTAATTGGGAACTAAGGATTCTAGAACAGGATGTCGAGTAACTTTTTTTTGTTAAATTGCTGTAAAAACATTATGTTCCAAGTGTAGGGTGTAGAAACACCGACTGAGGCTCACCTGGCCAGCGCTGTACTTGGGAACAGAGGTTCCGTCGTTGACTCCACTATTCATGGCTCCCTGAAACACAACACCAAGAACATGTACAAGAAAATGCTGTAAATTTATAAACCAATTTTATCAAATAGTGTCGTATGGGACGGCGTTTCTATCCTTTTGATGCCATGATTATTTTCAAACTTTTTCATCCAATTTAAGTTTTCTTTAATCGTTTAACATAAGAGTCGAGTGGTACTCACCAGCTCCCGGCAAGCACGCGAGGGAGGACTGATCAGCTGCTGGGCAGAGACCGTCCCCACCTGCAGGATGAAGGAGACACTTGGTACATTAACTTGCTGTATACCAGACATAGGGCCAGGTCTTTATGAGAACATCATCCGTCTAATAAATAAGTCTGATTAACATTCCAAATGCTTGTAAAACACCATCGACAACCACCCCAAAAATAGTAATTGGAGTCAATAATCATAAAGAGTCTTGGAACATATTTTCGCATAGAAAAACATGTTCTGAAATATTAGTGCACGAGGAGCATTAATCTGGCACCACCAAAATACTCACAGCCAAAACGAAGAGGAGTAAACCAGGGTTCATCTCGAGGGCGTTGTTGTGTTCTGGTCCAGAGATGAAGAGGGAGTGTTAGCATGGACTCCTCGCACTGTATTTATATAATTATATTATCTACAGTAGAACAAGCCCACATATCAGTACTTGTCTTCTGGGTCCACATATCCTCTGACCTTTTGAATATAATAGACTAAAATTAAGATAAAATGGAATCTGATCAGCAAAAACAATATGAACTTTCCATCGCGTATTCGTCAGGGTTTTAGTACACAATGAAACAACTCGGAAGATTTACCTTGATAAAATGAGTAGACTTCAAGGAGATAGGTATTTAAATGAGCTTTTACCTGGGCTGCATTCCATCGTTCTATTACCCAATTAATATTTTATTTGATATTTTCCTTCAGTTTTGCCACATATATATATATATATATATATATATATATATATATATATATATATATATATATATATATATATATATATATATATATATATATATATATATATATATATATATATATATATATATATATTTGAATTGTATGTGTGTTTATGAATTTTCACAGTTTTGGAGATAGAAGCTAAATTAAGATGATTTTGCATTTATAATTTAGGCTACGCCCTCTACTCATTACTTACATGATTACTTCAAGCTATAATAATGATGGACAAATATAACGTTTTACTTATAAAAGAAAAACAATGCAAAAGAAATGGGAGAAAAGAATTGAAGGGGATAGAAAAACTGACGGAGAATTGTTGCAGTTTTAGAGTTACTAAATTATGTCATTATAAGACACTAAAACAGATACAACATGATGAAACAACAAGAGAATGGCTGTGCCAAGTAGAAGAAAGAATTTGCAAATAAACCTCCTAAACATACAGCGACTGATGCAAGAAAGATGGAATATATTGATACTGATAGGATACAATAGACAAGCACTTGGAAGATGGAGTCCAAAGTTCTCACTAAATGATTGAGAGAGAAGTTGTTTTTGAGGGAATTGATCAGAATAAAAAAGCAAATTGGACAGAGCAATATTGTAGAGAATCAAAGAAGTGAAAGAATGTAGTAGAAAAGTTATTGATCAACTGATGAATGTAACAGATGAAAGAGAGACTGATCTATCCAGTTTGGAACGAAGACGATTACAAATCATCCAGTTAATATAAAAAAAAAAGATTAAAACAAGTAGGTTAAACCTGCACGCCAGGTGTGTATGTAAGTACGAAAGGAACCCTAAGAATGCGCAGTGAAAATATGATAGCAACGATGGCAAAATTAAGTAGCATACGCCGAAGGAAGAATATGTATAGTTTTGCAACATGAATAACTGTAATCTTGCAAAGAAGCATAAATTTCAGGGTATACATATAAGAGTTCTGTCGCTACTAAATGGAATCACTTATTTTAGTTGGTCAGCTAAAGCATAAAATAAAATCTTCTGTTGGTAGTCTTTAACTTGCTATACAAACGATGGATAGTAACATGAAGTGGAGGACATTCTCATTTTTTAAGTCTTAAAGGTTATTTTCAATCCACAAGGAATTCATTCATCGTCCAAGCTCTCTGACATTTTTAGTAGTAGCTAGACTACACTCGAGGTTTATTTGTTAAATATGAATATTGTATCTGTAATTATACCTTTCTGGACGTGTACATACATACTTTACAAAGGGAATTTAACATTTGACCACTACACTCTAAGAGGCACAGCAGCTCTAGAGGGTTCTTGTAGTGGGGAAGTACTCGTATATGAAGTATGAACAACGCTAGTCTTTACTTCATCTCGAGTACTGGACTGACTGACCTTCTCACTCGAAACGATCCCTCCTCCTCCTCCACCTTATACATTTCCTCCTCCTATATTTTTTGCGGGGGGGAAGAGCGTATACAAAAGTGACACTCACGTAAACAAACAATATAATATTTTGTACACACACACACACACACACACACACACACACACACACACACACACATACACAGTTCAGTATTTCTTTTCGCAACAGCAGTATACGTCTTGACATAGCAGTTGTGTCGTGGGGTTGGCTGGCTAGGGATGAACTAAACAAGGGGATCAATTCATACACACAAATATGTTATGGAAGTACTGACTACAAATTCCTGTCATGTGAGGTTAACATTCTTCCTAGGTCCTGTAGATTTTTAGCCTGTCAGCTACTGTGAAGTGTAGGCTATATGAGGAATCGCTGCTAATGGTCTCCAGGTCATTGATATCCCAGTTTGAGTTTGCTTTGGGAATTCCTCACTTGAAGAGCGATTTACAAATTTCTCCGGTGGGCTAAGTGTATTTTGATCTATGTACAGTAAATATCTATACCTGTATAATATTACTTTTTAGTCATGCTAATTTTTTTTTTGTCATGGTATAAAATGGTCGGAATTAAGAGGAAAAGTCTCCTTCCTCTCCTTCATCCATCACTGTAACTGCTGTAAAATCGCCATAAACCAATCGACGCTGTGATCTTCTGTTCCCCATTTCTCTGCTGGTTCCCGGAGGAGGAGAATAACAGGAGAATGGCGTAAGACAACCGTGGAAAACAATACCATATTACAAGTAGAAATATCCACACATGCTTATGAACAAGGACACACAAAAAGTCATGAATTAATATGTATAAATATAAATCAGCAGACAACGCCAACATTTAAGATATTATTATAATACACGTGTGTAACAAAGGGTTAATGGCGTAGTACACTAACCACACTGTGATGTTGAAGGATGATGGAACGATGTCGCAGTGTGGGTGATGGATACCCTCAAGTGACAGGTTAAGCTGAGGCTAGAGGAGAAAAATGAACTCAGAAATTTTCTTCGCTTCAACAGTTTTATGTGTTGACGAAAGTTAAACTAATACTCCCCTTTCTTACGCTAAATACAGATAATCGCTGATTAAGCCTTTAAAGATAACTGTAGTTTATACCGAATAGGGATAACTTCTTATTGCTAAAACTTAATGGAAATTAATTCGTATACGGTAAAAAATTGTTGTGCTTCATTTAAGGCGACTTTTATTATCATAAGATGGCCAAATTATACCCATAGAAGGAGGTTAGGTTAGGTGTTATATGAAGCTATTGATTTATATGCATTTTTATGATCATATGGTAGTATATAATCAGTACGTGTGTGTGTGTGTGTGTGTGTGTGTGTGTGTGTGTGGTCTACATGTAAAGCCAAGAGAAATAAACGCGAAGATAAAAGATAACTTTTAATGTCAGTGTTATAACAAATCGCAGTTTGAAGAATAACATATCTATTTGCCTAGCGAAAACGACATCCTGTTTATACGTATTACACAGGAAGACGAATATCACAGTGTGTGTGTGTGTGTGTGTGTCGGGCTAGATACGATAAATCGCCAATTAACCTTTAAAACAACTTATGTTTTTGACAGATGATAGATTTTTGTTTTATTGCATTTTCGATGGAAATTAATTCGGATATGATAAAATGTCCTCTCTTTCATTTAAGACGTCGTTTATCATAGGATATCCAAGAAGGTCAGTTTAGGTTAGGTTTTTCGTGAAACTTTTCGTTTATTTATTTCTATGTATTTTGATGATGTTCATGACTCTTTGGTCAGTCATTTCCTGAAAACAATAATACGTGGAAGTTATCTCTAATCGTCAGTTATCCCGATTTAGTGTAACATTATAGATATAAAATAGCCTTTAGCTCTTTAAAACTAGTCTGTTGTAATATAGATGGAGCTACAACAATACACACCCACAACACAGGTTCAACAGTAACCCTTGTTTACTCTTGACAAAGTATAAAAGATGAAGCTGCAGCTCACTGGCTCAGGGAGGATCATTTTTCTCCTTGATCCTGAGTTCATCCCTTCACATGTGGTCATTCTTCACGCCCTCCTCGACACACCCACGCCCAAACGCCTCGGGAGTCAGTAATGAAAACAAGAAAAAATATGTCAATTGATAAGAGTAAAGCAGATAGTTGTGTCATGGAGATGCTATAGATGAGTGCTCGGAGTTAACATGGCCTATCTGATCTATTTTTTTTGACCCAAGGTTCTCTCAAAATATTTCTCCTATTATTTCTTTCTTCCCATGGGAGTTTTTTGATACATTATTAAAAGTTAAGTGTATGCTAATGCTCTCAAACTTTTCACCTGGCTTAACTTTGTAATAATTAGGTAAGAAAAAAGTACATATATTTCAAAATATATCTTCACGTAAGACTATATATATGATAACGAGCTTTGGGTAACTCGTTCCCTCAAGCACAGACTCCAGGCTTATTAAAGCGTAAGTGTGGTCATGGTGATAGTAGTGGTGAAGAGGGAGACACTACTATGGGCCCGTCTGCCTTGGATCTTTCACAACCTATCCACTGTTTGTGATGTGTTTTCTGTTATTATTTATGATGGAGTTTTTATTTTTAAATATTAAATATTTATTAACTTTTTTGTATCGTTATATATTTTTTTTTTATTTCGTGGTTTTTAATGTTCTTCTTCTATGGTTTATTATCAATTTGTTCGTGTTTTTTTAACTCACTGATTTTTTTAATGTTTTAGTTTCGCGTTTCGGTGGTTTCATTTGCTTTATTTTATTTTTTTGAGGGATTTTTCATTGTCTGAATGTTAATCATTGTAAAATGTGTTTTGTGGTTCTCATCAAGACATGACATATTAACTTCAGAATGAGGCACTTCGAGCTATTCTTTAAACCATACCGTATCATACTAGTCACCGACTACGTGACCATACTGCCACCATAGTGATCATAGTGTGAAAAGCTTCTCTGGCGTTTATTGTGTTAGAACGAGTTAATAGTCTCCTACGTAAATTAATATAAACCAAATTAAAAGAAATGTCGTCCTTATGCTCTTTTGATGTTATATTAAGTACATATATTCTACTTATCAATGTACACAAATATTTAATTTATATGAAAAGATGTGTTGAGACAACACTTCGGTGCGTCCAAAACAACATGCATCTCAGGTGTGGACACACACACACCAAGTACTCCACGATCAGCAACCAGGTGCACACCTCTACAACCACACTGTAGATTTATCAAGGCAACATTTGGTGACTCATTATAAG